TTAAGAGAGATTTTTGCTTTAGGGCACTTGCACTCACCAGGGAGACAGAAAGTGAGAAATCACACCCCAGGATGGATGGCCACATGACAATCCCTTCTCCAGTCTCCTCTCAGGATATTGGGCTCGCACACACATGTGCCTGGCATGTATTTTAAGCCACTGGACCTGGGACTCGAACCGCAGTTAACTATGTGGGAGTCCAGTGACGTAAGCATTACACCGTCTGCTGGTTCCTTTAGAGCAATTTTAAGTCGGTAACAGATGGAGAGGAAAGTACAGAAACACCCGCGTACCCCCACCTCCCCAGCGCCCCCACCAGAGCAGTGCAGCGGTTACACTTGCCCAGTCTCCGTTGACAGTGCTGTCATCCAGTGTGTGGATTCCATTCGGGTTCACTTGGTTTTGTGCATTCTGTGGATTTGGGCAAATGTGACACGTACCCTCCATCACGGTACTGTCTGGTATTCCTAGCTGCTCTGGAAACCCTCTGCGCTCACCTGTCCCTCCCTCCCTCCCTCCCTCCAGCCTCTGGCAAAGAGTTTGCCTTTTCCCAGAATGTTACGTGGTTGGATTTGTTTTGGTTTTTTTGGAGAGGTTTTTGCTATAGGGCACGTGCACTCGCCAGACAGACAGAGAGAGACAGAGAGACAGAAAGCAGGAAATCACCCCCCAGGGAGGATGGCCACACCACAATCCCTTCTCATCCATTCTCCTCTTGGGATCTTGGGCATGCACGCACACACGCCCGGTGTGAGTTTAAGCCACCGGGTCCGGGACTCGAACCACGGTCAACTACGTGGGAGTCCAACAACATAGCCATTATGCTAACTGCTGGTCCCTGGATTTGTTTTTTTAGTAATAGTTTTTCCAAAACCTGTGTGTCCCAGAGCTTTTATAAAACGTACGGTGTTTCTTGTTTGAAGCATGAAATCCTTCCAGTCCTCTCCACATGTTCTTCATCCCATGGAGACTCTGTTTTATCCCCCACACTCTTTTCTTTCCCTCAGGCAGGAGCCCAGCGTCATAGACAGCCTAACTGGGTGTCATAGACAGCAAAGTTCAACATACATCTTGGAGCCCAGGTCCACCTGCGCTGCTCCTCTGGGAACAGCTGTTCCACCTCTGAGCTTCGGCGTTCTCATCCCTAACATGGCCCTCCCTAGAGGCAAGATTATATGAAATATTGGATGCATGTGCTTAGTACCTCACACTTAAAAAAGCACCCAGCATTGGACCAGCAGATGGCGTAATGGTGACATTGCTCAGCTTCCATGTCTCAATGCGGGAGGTGGGGGGACACGGGGAGGTTGGGGGGTGCTGGCACATGGCGTAGTGGTTAAGGCACTGGACTCCCACATGGCTAACCATGGCTCAAGTCTCAGACCTAGTAGCTTACTTTCTCACCTTCCCTTCTCTCTCCGTCTTGGCCTTTCTCTGATCAAATTAAAGTACAGTAGTAATAAATAAATTAAAATAAATGATTTTTTTAAAGAGATTTTTGCTATAGGGCAGGTGTGCTCACTGGAGAGACAGAGACAGAAAGTGAGAAGTCACCCCCAGGGGGATGGCCACAGCACAGTCCCATCTCCTCCATTCTCTTCTCGGGATCTTGGGCATGCATGCACACATGCCTGGTGTGAGTTTAAGCCACCAGGTCCAGGACTTGAACTACAGTTGACTTCGTGGGAGTCCAGTGACGTAACCATTATGCCATCTGCTGTTACCCTAATAAAAAGTAAAGTTTTTTAATTCTTAAAAAAATAAATAAAGCTCATTGCTGGACACGTGTATGTACGTGCCCAAAATCCTCAGAGGATAGTGGAAGAGAAGGGATTTCAGCATGCCCATCCCCTCAGGGAGTTGGCACATGGCGTAGTGGTTAAGGCACTGGACTCCCACATGGCTAACCATGGCTCAAGTCTCAGACCTAGTAGCTTACTTTCTCACCTTCCCTTCTCTCTCCGTCTTGGCCTTTCTCTGATCAAATTAAAGTACAGTAGTAATAAATAAATTAAAATAAATGATTTTTTTAAAGAGATTTTTGCTATAGGGCAGGTGTGCTCACTGGAGAGACAGAGACAGAAAGTGAGAAGTCACCCCCAGGGGGATGGCCACAGCACAGTCCCATCTCCTCCATTCTCTTCTCGGGATCTTGGGCATGCATGCACACATGCCTGGTGTGAGTTTAAGCCACCAGGTCCAGGACTTGAACTACAGTTGACTTCGTGGGAGTCCAGTGACGTAACCATTATGCCATCTGCTGTTACCCTAATAAAAAGTAAAGTTTTTTAATTCTTAAAAAAATAAATAAAGCTCATTGCTGGACACGTGTATGTACGTGCCCAAAATCCTCAGAGGATAGTGGAAGAGAAGGGATTTCAGCATGCCCATCCCCTCAGGGAGTGATTTCTTGCTTTCCATCTCTCTGGCGAGTACACATGCCCTATAACAAAAATCTCTCTGGAAAGAAAAAAAAAGAAGACCGGGCATGTGACCGCAGTCTCTTCCAGGGTAGGTTCTGCAGTTAGCTGAGAAGGGGGTCTCAGCTTGCAGCACCAGCGCCGTGCCTGTCCTTGACAGAGCTAACAGATGGGTCGGTCAAGGAGAGACCGAGGATCTTACAGGGACCATGAGCTCAGCGGCAGTGCATGCAGGCCACGGGTGAGAAGGAAGGCACCGCGCAGACACCCACCTCTGCCTTGTGTTTTCTGGGTGCGGAGCCAGCACAGAGGCCTCCAGGTGGCTCCACGGGGCAGGAGGACACAGCACGTGGTAGCACATCTTTTTTCCAGCCCCGTGGTTCTCTCAGTTCTGCCAGAATTGAGAGGAAGCTGAATTCCCGCCCCATTGCTGGAGCTTCACACTCCCCCTCCATTCCGGAGGAATGCCAAGGGCCCGTGTACTTCACTTAAGGCAGTGTTTATGGGCGCACCCCTCCCGATTGCTGAGCCCAGGAGTGACAGAGCCACACTCCTCAGTGTGAGGAAAGTCCGGTCACAGCCCAGGAGTCCCTGCAGTTTCCTGGAAAATCCAGCTTCCAGCAAGCCCATTTTGTGTGTGTGCATGTGTGTGCCTACACCCATGCTTCAGAGAACCCCCTCTATCATCACTAGTCCGGGTTCATCATGAAAATGCACTCGCAGCCTGTCTGCTGTGCACCTGGCCCTGGTGTGGTCCATGGTGTGAGATTTTCACAATGAGGTTATGACAGACCTCATCTGGAGTTCTACAGAAAGCTAGGCCCACCGTCTGAGCCACGTCTGTGAGCTTGGAGTCCTGCCGAGAGGACCTGTGAGAAACGTCCCCTTCTTATGCAGTGGTGTAAAGAGTTTGTTTTCATTTAAGGAGCAGGGCAGGTGGCATCCGCCCAGTGCCTGGTGGAAAGCCTGTGGTGAGTGAGCTGATGCCCAGGTGTTTTGAGGCACTGCAGCTGCTCGTGCTGACCACTAGAGGGCGCAGAACACCCATGAGGGCCGCAGTGGCTTCAGCAGTGCTCTGCATCCTACAAGCTTTTCCAGGCCCTGCTCCTGCCTGGGGACAGAGCCAGCCACGTGCTAGACCTGAGCTAGACCCTTGGCACTTCTTGCCACCACCCATGCCAGAGTCAGCAACAAGGACAGGAACCAGTGCCAGCAGGGGGTCCTAGGCAGGGACAGGCATGATCAGCCCAATGCCAGATATGGCTGCGGCACAAATTCCACATAGCGCGTCTGCTGCCACCACTCGGCCACAGGACAGGCTGGAACGGCCCTGAGGCACTCGTGAGAGAGTGAGGCCCGTGTGTGTCCCCAAGGTGCCTGAGCAAGGGCCACGAGATCGGCCATCCGGTGCGCATTGCCTGCCTGCTTCTGGAACTAACGTGCAGTTTCTGAGTGTCCTCAGTCTCAGTAGCTTCTCCGGGTGGCTCGTGGCCGGGCAGCCCCAGGAGAGTGAAGACCCGGCGTGTTTGTGTCATCGCTGTTGCTGCTCTGTAGTTGCGTATGTGTAAGAAAGTCCGTGTCTACCTTGTTCTGTTTACACGGTCTTAGATGCCCACAAGTGCCAGGCAGGGAGCCCAGGCAGCCAAGAACTCACAATGGCTGCAGCCGTGGCCCCGTCTGCATTCCATGCCGTGTGTACAGGCCCCTGAGGGAGTCGAGTAAATGCTTCATAGACCAAGAATGTGGCCATTCCCCGCCTCCAGCCCCGGGTAAATGAATGGCAGGTCCCACGTGGCTGAGCCTCCCCTGCAGCGCCCAGTAGGAGTCGGCGGTTCTGGGCCCTGTGGACCATGCTCCGCAGTGAGCTGAGAGTTCTCCTGGGGCCCCTGCTGGGCCTGCCTGGGTGCTCGCTAGGTACCAGGTGCCATGCCAGATTCTGCCTATTGCCAGGCCGACCAGAGACCGTCCGGTTTGGCCTCGTGCCCTCTGCCCTTGTGTAAGTGCTGATAGGACAACATCTCTGCCTTGGACTGAGCCTTAGAGGGATGCAGCACCTGCCCACCCAGCCCCACCCCACTGGGAGGAGCTGGCCCAGGTCAGCCAGCTCAGAGCCGAGCTCCTGGCCTCTCGGCAGCATCGCATGAGTCTCTAGTCCCTACCCAAGTGTAAACGTGATCGTCTCCATTTTATGATAGAGGACCAGGCTCGTGAGTGGCCAAGGCAGGATTCAAACTCGCCCTTGCTTCCCAGCCCACCCCCAGCCCAGCCACAGCTGCATGGGTTATTTTCATCTCGCCTGCCCTTGCAGCCAAGCCACTGGGACAGTGAGTCAGCCCTGCGGTTGGGAAGGAAGGGCGCTGCTGGGAGCTCACGGTGGAAGAAGTTTCTCCAGCGGGTGGCCTGCAGGCCTGCAGTGCTCCTGCTCCAAGGGAAGGGCCACTTTCCTCTGGCCCCTCCCGCCATGGCTTTGGGCGGTTACTGCCCTGGATAAGCCACCAGCCTTCTCTATCAAGGCTTGGGAGTCACAGCAGAGAAGAGTTCACCTCCGAGTGACTTGGACCCCCTTGTCACCCCACCTAGGTGTCAGCTGTGCCTACCGTGTTGGCCATCAAGAATGGGGACGTGGTGGACAAATTTGTGGGCATCAAGGACGAAGACCAGCTGGAGGCCTTCCTGAAGAAGTTGATTGGCTGACGAGCAGGGAAGATCCCTGAAGCCCTTGCCCACCTGGGACCCCCATGGTCCTGGGGAGGGGCCCCGTAGAACTCAGAGCCCTTCTGTGCAGGCCTTTCCTGCCTCCCCATCTGCCCTGTGGGCCTGTGCTTTGGAGACCAGCCCTCAAATAGGGGAGGGGGTGCAGCGTGCTCCGGCTAGCTGGCTGCCCACCCAGGGTGGCCATCCAGGAGGGAACTGCTGCTGGTCCGGGCACAGTGGCGTCCACCCACTGTCCTCCCGTCTGCTCCCTTTAGGGCTTGAGGCCGTTCCCCTCTTCCACTCAAACCCAGGGCCAGCCTGTAGCAGCACTGGTCAGCAGCAGCCATAGCCCCTGTCTTCTTGGTCCCTTCTGAACTGAACCCCCAGGCCTGGCTCACCTGCCTCCTGCATTTTTCTCTCCTGCTGCTGTTTTATAAAAAGAAAAAGAAGGAAACAAGAAACCCAAACAAGTGAGAGTAATATATGATTCTCTCATTTTTTGTAGGTCTGTAATAAAGAACTTTATGTGATCCCTTCTACTTCCTGCTGTGAAGAACAAACCCTGGGTCTCTCTCTAATCCCATCCTCACCTCCCAAAGAGCCTCCTCACTCCTCCTCCCCCTTCCCTTCCAGGCACAAGGGCAGAGAACAAGCGTGGGGGAGGGATCTGCAGACCCTTGACTCTGGAGAGCTGAGACACCACATCCCCCACCCCCTTAGTTGGCCCTTTGGTTCTCTGAGCAGGAGGCTTAACTGTGAACAATCCAGATCAATAAAGCTGGGTTTGCACTGTCGGAGAGGAGCTTTCGTTGTGTCTGGGCTCCGAAAGCACTTGTGACCTCCAGGCTCCACCACTGCTCTCCCTGTTTCCTCCGACTTCACACGCCCACCCCAGCCAGCCCCTCCTGTTACTGATACTCTTGTCAGTGGTGGCTGCTGTTCAGGACGCCTTCCTATGCATTGTCCTTGTGCCCTTGTAAGGCAAGGTGTGTTATCCCTGTTACCCAGAGGACACTGAGACGCGGGCTGCAGAGCTTGGGCTCCTGCCAAGATGCAGTAGCCCCTGAAACCTGGACTCCAGATGGGTGACCCCTTGACCCTTCTGGGTATCCTCTCCCCTAACTGGCTCCTGGCCACTCCTGCAGGTGCCTGACCCCTGAGAGAGTCAGGCCATCCTTCCTATTTGTGGCCACAGGAGGGCGGGGAGGACAGTGCCAGGTGAACCATCTTGCCAGCCAAGAAAGCTTTCTCTCTGCCTCCCTCCTGGGACCAAGCTGTTCCTTTGGCCTGGTTGCCCAGCTGAGGTACCAGTTCCCGGCGAGTCTTCAGTGCCAACGGCAGGGCTGTTCTGACATTCCTGCAGCCCAGGGTGCTGTGCCCACTGGTATGTGCACTGCTCTGGGTGGCTCTTTCC